CCACATCTCTTCCCAACTCCGTGTTAGTGACAGTGCATTTGCAGCTTGAAATTGACCGTGGCGAGAATATTCACACCACAGAAATTGGCAGATGCTATAAACCAGGGCTGCCCTTCCCAGAGCTGATTGTTAAACATTTACCATCACGCACACCACTCTCTCTCACTCGCACAATACAGGCAGGGAGAGACCCAACCCTTGGAAGACTTTCCCAGAGACCAAAATCTGGCTCAGGGCTGGGGATGGGGAAGGGGATGCAGGGGTGGGGCAGCTATAAACCAGAGGAGATGCACAGGGTCAGGCCTGCATCCACTCATTCTCAGGGCCTGCGTGGACGTTTAGAGCTGCATCGTCTACACCATCCGGTCCAGGAGGCTCTAACCACACGTGCCCACTGAGCACCTGAGATGTGGCTAGTGTTGAATGAAATTTACAATTGTCTTCACTTTTAATTAACTTAAATTTAAAAACTGACACTCGATTCTGTTATTGGGAAATGTGTAAGGATGTTGGAACAACCTAGGGATGTGAATCTACTTCGTCAACTGTAAATTTTATGACATCTAAATACAGACTAATTTTATGACAAATTGTAAATTTTATGACATCTAAATATAGACCAATTTTATGACAAATTGTAAATTTTACGACATCTAAATATAGACTTGTGATGAAAATTTAGCTCCTGAATTGAGATGTGCTATAAGTGTAAAACACACACTGGATTTGAAGGCTTACAATGAAAAAAAAAGCAAAATATCCCATTCATAATTTTTATATTGATTACAGTCAGAATGATAATACTCTGACATACTACGTTAAGTAAATCCTATTTTTTAAATTAACTTCACCTGTTTCTTTTTGCTTTTTTCAATGTGGCTATTAGGAAATTAACAATTACACATGTGGCTCACATTATACATAAATTGGGCAGTGCTGGTCTAGAATATTGTGGGTTGTTTTTTTCTCCCATTTGTACCATTTGATATTCAAAAGCAGAAGTAGTCAAAAGAAACCACTAAAAGGATTTTGCTCAGATTACAAATTCTGGAAGCAAATGAGCCGATCCTGTCCCATTGCGAGCGGGGTGATTTGGTGAATGACCTCTGCCCCATGCAGGGGAAAGTCTGTCCCTGGAGGCCATGGCTGGGGAAGGGGCCCAGTCACTCGGCAACAGCCAACTGCTCATCCCAAAGCCCAGCCCCTGAGGGCAGGCCTGGACTGGTTTTGCCAAAGCCCCCCATATGGAGAAGCTGGCTCTTGGAGCCACACAGAGGCCCAGGCCTGCCCACGAGAGGGCCCAAGAGCCAGCACACAGAAGGAAGCATCAAACGCTGGTGCACCTTCAACCCTGTGTCTCAGAACAACGCGACCTCTCCCTTCCACACTTGCACAAGTGCTGCCCCTCTACTCAGACTGCCCTTCCTTCTCTTAGACCTCTGGAGAACTCCTATGCATCCTTCAAGATCCAGTTCAAATGCTCCTTCCTCTGAGGCCTTTCCTGACCAAATGATGTTCCCACATCACATCCTTGGGCTTCTGGTCTAGTCTATTCTTATCACTTCCTTTCAACCTCAATGCTTTTACTCTTGGCCCCTCAAACCTGATTTCTTTCTACAACACAGAATATGTGTCTCTCCCCTGTGGAAAATTGCCACTGGGTCCCCATTACCTAAAACAGTAGCTCTCAGACTTAAACAAGCATCAGAGTCACCTAGAAGGCTCCTTAAAACACAGATTGCTGGGCCCCACCCCAGAGGGTCTGATTCAGCAGGCCTGGCCTGGGCTGGGGCCTGATCTTCTGCATTTCTAAGAATGTCCCACGTGCTGCTGCTACTGGTCCAAGGGCTGTACTTTGAGAACCACTGATCTAAAAGATCAAGTGCAAACTCTTCACCTCGGCATCCGAGGCCCTTCACAACACAGCCGCCAATACTCCGCTGCCCTCATCTTTCACCGGGTGCTGCCCCCATCCTAGTCTCCCCATTCGCCAAACACGTCACACCCTGCACACCATTGCCCATGCTGTCCCTTCCACTTGAAACCCTTTGTCCCTCCTGATCTACCCACTTCCAGTGTCTCCTGCCTTGATTTCACAATGTCTAAAACTCAAACCCTCAAAAATGAGGAGCCGGCACCTCTCGGGGTCTACAAAGTAGCAAATGCAGGCCGCAGGGGCAGCCACCAAGAAGGCGGGTGAGGACTGGGTCTGGCGAGAGCAGCAGCTTCAAGTGACAACTCTGGGACAGAAAGTTCTGGTGTATCTATTTAGACAACCTTGTGACAGTCACGGTCCAGTTATAAATTGTCCTTCTTCTCTATCTGGTTTTCCAGCTCCGTCACTTTCTAGCTGCCTGGCCTGGGGGGAACACAGCCTCTTTGTGTCTCATTTCTGTTTGTAAGAGGGAGATAAAGCAACACCTCATAGAACAAAGATTAAATGACAAACGCAAGTAAAACTCACAGCCACAGGCCTAGCACCCAGTAAGCCCTCAATAAACACTCACTGTCGTTGGTATTATCTTTGGACCTGGGAAAGTAATGAACTTGGTCCTAGCCATAATCAATAGTGGGAACAGACACACAAAAGATGTTTTCTTCAGGAGTACATAATCAGTGGTCCAATAAAGGTGGTATGGATGGAGAGGAGGATGGATGGGCAGATGAATGGATGGCTGGGTGGGTGGGTAGATGGGAAAACTCCTTTGTATAATACCCCGGGTGGCTCTGTGAGGACTGTCTGGCAATAGACACTTAAAAATCTTACAAATTCTCCTAAAGAGGTTCTAAGGCAAGAACACAAAAATTTGAAGATGTCCATCACGGAGTTTTTTATAGCAGAAAAAAAAAAAAGAGGCAGCCTAAATGCCCAACAATGGGGACAACACAGTCAGAAGACAGAATTCTATGGAATAAAAAATGAAGATGCAAGTGTTTCCTCACTGACAGAGAAAGTTGTTCTTAATACACCTTAAATAAAAAGAGTAAAAGGTAAAGTAACAGGTATGGTATAAATTCATCTTTTTAAAAAAATTGTGGATGTGGGTGTGTATATATATATATATAGAAAAGTCTAGAAAAATATATTCCGAACGCTACCAATGGTTATCTCTGGTGTGAAAACTTGGATGGTATTAATCTTTTTTTTTTTTTTTCCTTTTCTGTATACTCTCGTTTTTCTCTGATGACCATATACATATTTGTTTAATTTCTTTAAAGAAGAAAAAACATTTTAAAAAGCAGCTCTATGAAAGAGAACAGAGGAAACACAAAGGCTCAGCTTCATCTCCCTCAGCTGTGTGACCACGGGCACGGGACCTAACCTCTCCGTGCCTCTGGCCCCTCCTTTGGAAAGGGTTACCAGTCTCCTTGCCCTGCTCACCTCCCAAGGTGCCTGGAGACAGTGGATGAGGAAGGGCTGTGAAATCTGCAGGTGACAGTCAGGGGGCAGCGGTTTTATTCCCCCCAATGACATCTGGGAGGCTCCCAAGGAGATGCCCAAAGAGGCAAAGCAAAGTTGGCCTCCGTTGGGCGTGGGGGGCGGGGGGGGCAGGGGGGCAGCCAATTTAAGTGGACAGAGCTCTGGGCAGGGCTGGGGGCCGAGCTCTCACCCCCTCAGACACTGGCTTCCTTCATTTCTGTGAAATGAGAGGGATACACCACGGTGGTGGTTTCTAAACTCGCCCTTGGTTTTCTTAAACAGCAGGATCCTTTTCTCAAAAGGAAACACAGATTTCCCTGTTAAGTGTCATAGTTCTGATCCTGAAAATCAAGCATACTGTGCAAAAAAAATAAATAAATAAAGCCAGGTGGGAGTCTATTTCCCATTATTTCAAGTGGGAAAAATTGTAAAGTGTTACATGTCAACTCCAAACTCCCCACTAATTTCCTCAAATGTAACTAAAACATAGTAACACTCTGTCTATACATCATGAACTATCATGATAGGAGGCAAAATGCTTAAAACATCCCCTCCTGACCACCAAATAATTATTAGTGACTGTTAATACCCGGTGCCATGCGCAGTACCAGGAGCCTGGCGGCTCAGCTCCCGTGTCACCCGAGATGCCAAGCCCTGCTGACCCCGACCCCTTTGCAAAACGGCTGCACGTGACTCTGACAGTCTTCCAGGTGCATCTAGAGTTGACTTCAGACTTTTCCTGCACATTATTTTGTTACAAATGTCGTACTGAGTTTTGGGGACATAAATATGATACTTTATATATAAAACATTGGCTGGAAAAAAGTGTGGAGAGACACATACCTTCTGGGAAGTCTGGGTTTTATAAACTGAAGGGCACAAGCACTAGGAGAATGTCACTGGGGGAGACACTGTGCAGGCAGGCTTGTCCTGTGGAAATCAGGGGGCACTCCGGAATTCCTCTCGAGTTGAGGGGGGATGCTGAGTTTGGAAGGTGGGGCTGGAAGCGGCATCTGCACAGAGCTCATCAAAATATGAGGCTGCTGATGGAGAATGGGGGGCTGCTAAAGCGCCCCCTTCTTTAGCGCCACCATTGAAAGCAATCCCCATTGCAGCAGTGGCAGCAACGATGCCACCACCACAAATAATAAAATAGCCACCACTCACCAAGCTCTTACATGTGCCAGGTACTTCCAGGCACCTATCATGAATTAACTCATTTAATCCCCGTAACAACTCTACGAGTAGGTACTGTTATTATCCCCACCTTACAGATGGGGAAACTGAGGCACAGAGGGGTTAAGAACCTGCCTAGGGTTATCCAACTTGTAAGTGGCAGAGTTGGGATTCAAGGTGGGGCAATAGAGCTTGAGAGTTCCTTCCTGCTCCAAACCACTGCCTCCACCCCCAAAATTGGGGAGACTCTGCCAAGAGGTGAGGGCAAGGGACCTGGAGCCCCCCTTCTTCACCTTCTCCTCGCCCCGGCCCTTGCCTTCAAAGCAGACACTGAGAAAGAGCTCAGGACCTCAAGACCAGGCCATGAGGGCCGAGAGGGGCCGACGGGCGGGGGCACCCTTACCCACAGCTTCCCATCATAGTAATAGGCTCCCAGGAGCTTCACGATGTAGGGGTGGTCGCAGGTGGCCAGGATCTCAATCTCCACAATGTAGTCCTCCAGCTCCTCCTCACTCTTGGTCTCAATGACTTTGGCCGCGGCCAAGGCACCTGTCTCCTTGTTCTTGGCCTGCAAAGTGGAGACACAGAAGGTCAGCAAGGCAGGCCGGGCAGGAAACGGAGCCCTGGAAGCCAGCTCAGAGGCCGGATGTCCAGACAGGGACTGAGAGGCTGAAGCAGGAGACACACTGCCCTTGACAACGGCCAGCGCTGCTCACTAGGTCAGCACAGAGGGGCAGGCATGAGAAACAATGTTCTGTGTTTAATAACAATAATTTTTTTTAAAGTACAACACATCCATACTATGGCATAAAGAAAAATACAGGAATAGCATAGTGCTACAAATACCAACACGGGAAGACTGTTGAGCTGTTCAGTAAAAGATCCAACTCACTGAACAATAAAAGTGGCATGATATTTTTTATATAAAAAATGGAAAACCACACTTTCATAAACGCTCACATGTGTATGTAAATGCATGGAAAGCTCTGGAAAGATACTGCGTGACAGCAGGCTGGGGAGGAGCCTAAAATGAGGAGATTCAAAGGGCATTTTCACTGTCTCTGTTGTTTAAAATGTTCCTAGAATGTTTCCTGCCTTTATTTGCATCATTTCATATACATTAAAAGTAAAAGGAAACAGGGTTTTAAGTAAGTGCCCTCCAGTTAGTGGACGTGCTTCCGTGCTGCATTTTACCTGGGCATGAGAACTGCTGTTTATTTGACGAAAAACAGAGTGAGAGAATTTTGCACCTATGAGGATCGCTATAATTTAAAAAAAAAACAGAAAATAAGTGTTGGTGAAGATGTGGAAAAATTGCAATCTTTGTGCACTGCTGGTAGGAATGCAAAATGGGGCAGCCACCACAGAAGGGTTTGGCGGTTTCTCAAAAGGTTCAACACAGAACCACCATACGGCCAGCAGTGGGAGTGTACCACTCCCAGGTAATCACCCAGAACTGAAAGCAGGGATTTGAGCAGATATCTGCACACCGATTTTCACAGCAGCACATTCACAAGAGCCAAAAGATGGAAACAACCCAAGTGTCCATCAGCAGATGAACGAATAAACACAATGTGGTATACACATTCAACGGAATATTATTCAACCTTAAAAAAGGACATTCTGACACACTACAACATGGATGAACCTCAAGGACATCATGCTAAGTGAAATAAACCAGACACAAAAGGAGAAATATTGGGTGATTCCACTTACAGGAGATCCCTGGAGTAGTCAACATTATAGTGACAGAAAGGAGCACAGAGGTTCCCGGGGGCTGGTTACCAGGTGGAATGGAGAGTTAGTGTTTAATGGGCACCGAGTTTCTCTTTGGGATGATGAAAAAGTTCTGGAAATGGAGAGTGGGTACGGTTGCACAACACTGTGAACATACTTATCGCCACTGAATTGTATACTTAGAAATGCTAAAATGGTCAATTTTATGTTACGTATATTTTGCCACAATTTTTAAAACTGTGAGTGAAAGAGAAATAACTGTGTAAGTGATGCAAGCAATTCCACCCACGATGAGCTGGTGTCCAGGAGAAGGAGCAGAGCCCACGGTTCCCTCAGGTGGGCCCGTGAGCCTCGGGGACTGCTGCCGGGAGCCTTCGCCCACTGTGCCGCACGGGCTCCGGTGCTCAGAGAGCCCACTTTCCTACCACAGGGGCCTGAAAAGCGAGCCGCTCGTGTGGAGCCTCTGGACAGCCATCTAGGGAGAGCACAGGAAAACGGGCTGCCCCAGACTCCCGGAGCAGCCCCGCTGGTTTCCATCGTGGTGCCTTCCTGAGGACAGTGTCACACACCACTCGTGCCTGACAGGAGGACTGTGCACCCTGATCCACTGGGAACGCCGATGGCCGAGTTGCTCCTACGTGTCTAGTGCCCCATGGATGACAATGAGCATTCACGTCACCTCACATGACACCACAGTAATCAGCACCTCAGTGTCCCCACTCAGAGGCTCAGAGAGGGGATGTGGCGGGAACTAGGGAAGTGGCACCAGAATCTGGGTCCTCTGGCTTCCAAGACGCTGTGCACTGCCCACTGCTGGGCGAGGTCTCCCGATCATCTCCAGGACTCAGGAGCCTCTCAGACCAGACGCCCACAGACACTGATGAGCGCTCCAGGCCACGCTGCACCGGCGCCAGCAATGCAGCGCCAGCAATGCAGTGACAGAGCCACCCGGCCACCCGCCCCCGGCCTCCAGGAGTTCAAGGTCCAGCTGGAAAGACCCACTCCTCTACTGCCACTGACAAGACAGCTGCTTAGGAGGCAGGGTGGGAGCTGGGAGGGGGTGCCAAGCCCGCCAGAGAACCTCTGGAAGGCAGTGATGTCAACAGGCCATTTTTACGCTCACTTGTAAATTTATTCTCCATTTAGGTAAATGCTTCTGTTAACTGAGCTGCCAAGTCCCCAGGGGCCCAGGCAGTGAAAGCAACAGCGGTCCACACGTCAACATGTGTGACTCATGCATCTCCTCGACCGGCCTGCGACGCAGGTGCTACTATTACGTCATGTGCAGACGAGGAGACTGCGGCAGAGTCCTAGCCACTTAGGTGACAGCTCATCTGCCCCAGCAGCACCGCCCTCTTGGCAGCCACCTTCTTCCTCCATCACAGTCTCTCCCGAGTCAGAGCCTATGAAGCCTCCACATCCGGCCCAGGAGCCCAGTCCAGGGTAGGGGATTCCACGTGGGGCCACTCCCCGGGGTCAGCCCTCATGCTGGAGGACTGCTCCCTCGGCTCTACCTGCGGGGTCCTCTCCCTGACACTCAATTTTGAAAGCTTGTTGAGAACGCCTTAGAGAGGCATCAGTTAAGCAAGGGGGCTCCTGCTCACTCTCCTCTCCTCTCCTCTCTTTCTCTCTCACACACACACTCTTGATTCTGTACCTGTCCTTTCATTTCTTGTAAAGCTGACTTTCTTCTGTCCCACTGGAGGACCCACCAGCATCCTTCCACACTGTAAGACTCCCCCTCCTCCTCCTTCCCCCCTCCTCCTCCTCCTCTATCTCCCCCTCCCCCCTTCTCCTCTATCTCCCCCTCCTCCTCCCCCTCCCCTCCAAACCCAGAGAAGTTAAGGCCCACTCTGCTCCTTTACAGAGAGGAAAGCAGAGGGCTTAGCAGGGTGGCCAGAGCTGGCACCGTGCTCTCCCGGCCCCCAGCACTGGGGAGAGGGGAACTGGACAAAGGCCACCCCTCAAGCATTCACCCTTCACTCCTGAGATGGTGAAGGAGGCTGCAGGCCACCTCTTCCTGGGTTTCCTTAAAAGGGACATCTTCTCCTGAAGGTGGGGGAGGCCCAGGCGGGACCGGTTTCCATGAGGGCATAAACCCTGCCTTGCCCGCCACCCTGAGAGGCAGCACCGACCACAGGGCTGGGCCCCCAGCCGGCACCAGTGTCAATACTGAGGAACCCCCGCCGCCCAGCACCTCGCTCAGATTTCACAGGGACCAGAAAGAGCCTGCCAGAAAGGCGTTAGCAGCAATCGTGGCACTAAAAGTGACTGGGCCAAAATCAAACCCTTTCAAGGCCTGGTTGAGGCAGCAATCCACCACCTTGAGGGCACAGGGACGTAATGACGGCTGATGATAGGGACAGCTAACACTGCCTGAGCACACACTGTGTGCCAGGACAGGCCTTAAATGGAACTTCTCACTTCATCTGCCATCCAGCCCTTGGAGATCAATATTAGCACTCCCATTTACAGATGAGGAAACAGATTCAGAGAGGCATGGTGATTTGCCCCAGGTCACACAGCAAGTGGGGGTGAAGGCTGGATCCAAACGCTAGCCAGCCCGGCCCAAAGAGCCTAAGCTCAGAGTCACTTCCGAACAGGCCCTTCTTGGCGAGTGACCAGGGTTACCTGCTCCACCTTTCTTTGCCAGAGATAATGAAAAACCACAGCCAACAGCATGCTTGGAACTACAAAAATTTAATCCGCCCACAGCCATTAAGGCAAGTGGTAGCAATCACGCCCATTTCCCAGATCAGCAGACTAGGGCTCACAGAGGCCTCAGAACCCACCCAGGACTGGAAGCCGTGGTGGTCTCCTGACTCCCACAGGTCTCTTCATTACACAAGGCTGCCAGCAATCTGCGTATTCCCTCTTCACTCACTCAACCATGACTTATGGAGCCGACGTTACATGTGCGGCACTTTTCTAGTGAACAGGACAGGGTCTGCCTAGAGGGAGAATTTGTGGGTAGGAATCATTGGCCTCCCATAGCATAGTTCACTCTGCCCTGATTTTTCTTCAGCAGAGCTAACCCACCCGCATTCCCAGTCCCTAAAATGCAATGGAGCGGATTCCACTGCCATCACTAGAAGCGGGTGGGTGACCCGTGCTGGCCAATCAGAACACAGCGACTGGCTCAGGGATAGGGAGGTGATGGAGTCACCCAACGAAGCGCAACCTCAGAACAACCGCTGAGACACCGGGCTTGCCCCAAGCCCTGCTCTACTGCTAGGTTCCAGCACGGTGGCTGCAGGCCTGGAGCGGCCGTGCCAGTGTGCCCCCAAGGGGAGCCTGAAAATGAACTAGTTGAGCCTAGAAATGAAGCAGCAGAGCCCAGTGAGGGCACGAGAGGACACTGTTTGATCCCCTCAATTAAGTTTTACACCAGAAAGGTACTCTGATTAAGAGCCTCACTTTATATGTAAGAAAAACTGATGCTCAGAGAGGTGAAGTCACTTGCCCAAGGTCACACAGGCAGGTAAAGAACAGGGCTGAGAGTTGAATTCCGGCCTGCATGACTTCCAAGTACCATGTTCCTGATCGCTTTGCCAGAGGTGCCTGTAAATTCTGCAGAGGGCCTGTCTGGGCCTCAGTTTCCCCCTTTGCACAGTAGGAGGATGGGGAAATGGTCTGATGTGAGGGCATCTTGGGGAGTGGGTGGGTCTTGGAAAGCTATGGGTGGTCTAAGTGGATGGGGCACCTGTGGGAGTTGGCGGGCAAGGAGTCGCATAAAGAACAAGCGACTATCTGTGGCCTCTGACGTCTGTCTCTCCCACCGGCTGAGGCAAGGCTAGGGACTGGTGAAGGACGGGGGAGCCCCGCCCAGCC